CATTCCGCGTTACACAGTAAATTCCGTTTTTATGAATAGATTCCGGGATTCCGTCCCCATTTTCTACATCGCCCTACTTTTGCTAAGAAGCACGTTCAACGCGGACGCACAGACGGTTGTCGTGGTAATGAACACCAGAGCAACCAGTTGCGCTTCCGCACTGAACGCGCATCTCGCATATAAAAAGCATTTTAGGGGGCCCTTTGCTTTTGGGGGCCCAAGGCGGTCGCCTACCTTTGCCTAATGGTTAAGTCCGCCTCTGCTGATGAGTATCCAACTGGATATAATTAGTATAAAAACAGAAGTAGTCACATTATATTCCACATTTGATACCTACAGTATAATTGGCTTTTCTGATTAAAATAATGTGTGATTTAAGGAGAGTACACTGTAAAAAATGACCGTGAATTTAACGGTAAAAGACTGTAAAAATGCTACTCACATAAGCCAGCAAAAAGACCTGATCATGGTATGCAGCACTAATGAGGACCTCTCATTTGGAGTGATGAACACAGTGAAAAACACAAATTTGTTGATACCATGTCATTCTAAGCATAAAACCAACACTTTTAATTTTTTAGAATCTGAAACATATTGCACTATACAATATGCAAATGAATTGGCTGGTTGATTTATACATATGCTACAGTTTACCCCAGTGTTCCCCAATAATGGTCATGGAATATCCCTGAATTGCACAGTTTGGATGTCTCCCTTAATTAACACACTTGGTTTATATCATCAGCTCATTAGTAGTGGCACCAAGACCTGAACTGGTGCGTCAGATAGAGACAAATCCAAAATGTGCAGTGCTGTGGACCAAGGAAATCAACTGGTTTACCTTGATAAATATCCAATTAAATAAAATCATTAACATGTCATTTGAACTAGACGCATTGTAGTCTACACGTTCAATACCAGCAAAATAAATGGCTTTTTATTTTGAAAATAAAATGTTTTTTTTTCTACTGTGCAATGCTTTTAGGCTACATGTTCCAAGTTCAGGGTTAAAAATCACTGGTTTACCTTAAGTACCCACTTAAATAAAATGAGTAAAGTGTAATTTGAACTAGACATAGCATGTTCAATACAGGGAAATAAATGGCTTTTTATTAAGAAAAGAAAAGAAAATACAGTTTTTTTCACCACCGTGCAATGCTTTAGGTAGGTTACATGTGAAATGCAAACTATAATCAGCTCAGATTGCTTCAAAATCCCATGCTTTTTCATTTAACGTCAATGCATGTTCACAAAATTTGAAATCAGTTTATGTAATTGCAAAAATATAAATATTTGTAATGTAGCGGTCTGTAATTGTGAATTTCAAACTGTGCCATCAAACGCATTCATTCAGATGAGTTTTTCCATTAAACCTTGAATATTGACGTCTGACTGGTGTGATTGTCAGCTCAGTTCAAAGTGTCTTTCCAGATCAATCTTTTGAGATTCAGGTTTAATTAAGCATCTCAGGACCTCATCGCAATTCCATTCATCAAGGGATGTTTTCTATCAGTACATTTAGTTGAATAAAAATCCTATAACCCAAAATCTCTGGGCTGCTTGTCATGCTCTTAACCCTTGAAAACCTGCTGGTCTGAACTAACACAAGCTAAAATGCGATAAAGAGACAAATGCAAAAGATGAGAGGTCACATATGGATGTTCCCTGTAGTACGTGATTGTGTGCATTCTGTACATACACAAATAGCCACGTGAGAATGTGACAGTCAATCTATGTGCCTGCATGTTCGCAAAGAAAAACTGTGCCACATGTGGTCATCCTAGAACATAGGCTATATTGTAGTTTGTGTTGCATTTCCATAGAGATGGAAAATAGACAGTAAATATGAAGAGACAAAGCACTGGGCTTCATCCCCATAACAGTTTTGCTTTTACACAGATTTGCTCAGCAAATATAAATGTAGCTCATTGACCAAGTTGTTGGTGCATTTGCCTCACACTGATGAAGTAGGCCATGTTCAATCTCGTCCTTAGGATATATAGTTGTTTATTTGTGAATCTTGAGTTTGAGCCAGATTTTTATATTTTGCTTTGAACTCGTATGACACGCTGGGGGCAGAAACTGAGATGTAATTTGTGAGCTAGATCCGTGCATCTTTATTTTAGTTAGCAATATTTCATCATAAACCCGTCCTTATTCAAAATGAAGAATGAGGATAAGAGCCTCAGCTAAAGCTTGAGGAATTCATTTTTATTCTCAGTTGAAGATTGCTTAAAGTCTGGTTCATCCAAAAGACATTATCTCCTGACTGTATGCTCACACATACTGGTTAACCTGCTGATAACATCCTTTAAAGGATTAGTTCACACAAAAATGAAAATTCTGACATAATTTAGTCATTCCAAGCCATTTTTTTGTTTTTTGGAAAACTAAGATGAATTGAGAATGGAGCCTGTTAAGCTTTCCAATTAATTTAGATGACTTGTGTGCTGTATTTCAAGTCTTTTGAGGCTTTGTGTGAAGAACAAACTGCTATGTAAGGCATTATTTACTGATAATCCTCAGTTCCAGTGGGCTGTTAACCACTGTGACTGAATCAAGTCAGTGAGTTGAACACAAGAATCGAATGAGTCGGATTAGTGAATGAATCTTTAGTGAACTGGTTCAATTGATTCATTGAAAATATCTGATTAGAAAATTTTTTTCACAAATCAGACATCGAATCTCACTACATATTTAACATATTTACACACAGGAGATCTTTTTATGAAAAATTTCCTCCTAACATGAATTTGTTCTTAACTTTGTTTTAATGTTAATGTATTCGGATAATTTGATGAAAGAATCTATGTATAAAATTTAATCTAATCTCATTTCATCTAGGGAATAGTTCTCCTAAAAATAAAAATTTGCTATGAATGTACTCACCCTCAGGCCATCCAAGATGTAGATCAGTTTGTTTCTTCATCTAAAAAGATGTGGGGAAATTTAGCATTACACCACTTGCTCTCCAATGGATCCTCTGCAGTGAATAGGTGCCGTCAGAATGAGAGTCCAAACAGCTGATAAAAAACATCACAATAATCCACAAGTAATCCACACCACTCCGGTCCATCAGTTAATGTCTTGTGAAGTGAAAAACTGCATGTTTTTAAGAAACAAATCCATTATCAAGACGTTTTTAACTTTAAACCACAAACATGCTTCCTGCTAAAATACAAGCTACAACCATAATATTGCTCTCTCCAGTGAAAAGGTTGTCTAGTCTGAATCAGGAGAGAATTATGCACAGATCAAGCACAGTTTACAAGTAAAAACAGTCCAAAAGAGTTCTAAACAAATATGTCAGGTATTTTGACGTAAGAGGACAACGGGATTGATTTTTTCACTGGACAAAGAGTTATGTATGATGGACTTGTATTTTGGCCAGAAGCGACGGTTTAAAGTTAAAACGCTTTGATTATAGACTTGTTTATTACATATACACAGCTTTTTCACATTTTCATTTTTGGGTGAACTATTCCTTTAACACATTTATAAGGCCAGCCAGAGTATGTGATTTTTAATTATGTGTGGTTGTAGTGGTTCCTACATTTTTTCATACATTTTAGTACTAAAGTTACTGATCAATCTTGAATTGTTCATGAAAATATTTGTATGCAAATTTCATATACAAATTCATTATTACTTCCCTCACAAGGACAAATAGCAAGATTTTCAATGGATAACAGCTTACATTTCAGTTTGTTTCTCATGCAAATATGTGACCCCGGACCACAAAACCAGTCTTAAGTCGCTGGGGTATATTTGTAGCAATAGCCAAAAATACATTGTATGGGTCAAAATTATCGATTTTTCTTTTATGCCAAAAATCATTAGGATATTAAGTAAAGATCATGTTCCACAAAAGTATTTTGTAAATTTCCTACCGTAAATATATCAAAACGTAATTTTCATGCATTGCTAAGAACTTCATTTAGACAACTTTAAAGGGTGGTGCAAAAGTCACTTTTATAATGTGTTTTTGTCATTAAAAAGACTGGCCAGAATTTTCTATAACACTCACATTTGGCGTTCAGAGTTTGTTTTTATTTAAAAGATACGTACTTCTTTTACCCATCATGATTCACAAGAAGCAGAAAGCCTCTTTTCCGTTGGACTTTATTCACTATGAACCAGTGACCCAAATGATTCACATGAACTGAATAAACCTCCATTACGGTTAAGGCTTTCACTGAATGCACATTCAGTACAAACCAGCAGCCGCACAGCTTTGTGAGAGTGAAATTCAGCTATAATGTGCATGGTCCTCCGTGCGCCGGGAATTACCTTAGCTGTTAACCGCATCCGACGTCATGCGCCACATGGTCTTTCTGTGGCATTGCATGACAATCAGACATCAAGCTTGTTTGGAATTTCATTAAAAGAGGTTGGCAGTGGTGACGAAAGCAAGTAAAGCTGTGATTAAATTTGGTGCTGTGGATGGATTTCAGAAAGCAATCTCAAAGCCTATTGTCACAGGGATGGTAAGGGTGCCATTTTCCGCATCTGAGAGCACGCCAGCCCCTCTTGATCAAGGCCATGCTGACAGCACATGGCGGACTGTTGTACTGATGTTTTACACACAGAGTCATATTCAGCCTCAGGGAGCAAAAAGCTGTTAAAGCTTCTTCGTCTCAGTCAAAAACTAAAGAGGGCTTATCATAGAAAACAGTATTTATTTTGCTCTTCTTATACTCTAACGTGAAGCTTCTTCTTAAGTCCACCAAGAGCATTAATGGAAACTAGGCTGCAAAAACATGTTTTTCAGAAATCATCACAGTATCTGTGACATCACAAGGACTACTTGGTATTCAGTAGCTTCACACACCGCTGTGACGGACAATGTGAACTACGTCAGTATGCAGAGGGTTAGCCAATCAGAACAGAGATCGCTATTTGGGATGGGAAAGATTATTAGTGAATAACGACTTCAACAAATTTAAAGAAAAAAAAAAAATTATACTTTTAGATGCATTAAATTGGTCAAAAGCAAATGCAATGTGGCATTAAATGCATTTGTAATGTTACAAAAGGTTTCTATTTTACATTCATAATGGAACAAAAACATTATATTTCAAATAAATGCTGTTCTAAATGCTATTAAGAATCCTGAAAAAAATATATCATGGTTTCCACAAAAATGTTAAGTAGCACAACTGTTTTCAACATCAATAATAATAAGAAATGTTTCTTAAACACAAAATCAGGATATTAGAAGGATCATGTGACACAGAAAGACTGAATGAAAATTCAGCTTTGCATCATAGGGATAAATTACATTTTAAAATATATTAAAATATATTTAGTTATTTTAAGTTTCAATAATATTATACAATATTACTTTTTCTTTTCTTTTTTTTTTTTTTACTTTTTTTTTTTTTTAATCAAATCTTTAAACTTCCTATTTACACATTCATGCGTCCTCTAAAGTAAGTGCTCAGCCTGACTATCAAATACATGCAGCCTTGGTGAGCATAGACTTAAAAACATTTTAAAATCTCACTGACCCTACACTTTTGAACAGTATCGTAGTTATTAATAAATATTTAGATCGACAAATAAAAAATATTTCAACACTAAGTCTGTTATCTTGGCAAAGTTATATTGCTTTATTATATTTTCATATAGCATATATTTCTCTATTTCTCTGTTCAGTGTTTTATTTTTTGTGTTGCTCATATATCAAGGCATTGGAAATGGTGTCAACTTTGAAGTTTCTGAATTCGGTATCTTAGAGGGAATGTATTGTACTGATGTGACATCTACTGATGGAAGCAGATCTGTCTGATTTGGCTGAGAGCAGCGTAACCAACTGAATAATCTGACAGATGGTTTCAGTACTGGGGAAAATTCAACCAATTTCCCAGTGATCTACTACCATAACAGTAAAGGAAATTGGTTTCTGCTCATAAAAATGGCTCATAATGGTAACTAACATCATTCTCACTAATGAGAACTACTTATCCTTTGATTAATACTAGTTCTGATTAATTTGCATACTTGGAAAACCATGTAAGTGTTACAGATGTGGCTATGCGTAGAAATAATGCTATAAAAACACAATAGCTTTAAAATGGTTTCTAGAATGATTTAAACCATTTTGTCTGTCCAGAAACTCAGTCAAAATATAAAATGCTCAATAACCCTTAATTAAATTGAGGAAAACTTTCCCAATTAAATTAAGCGTTTTCTTTGAACTGATTTGTTCTAATCTTTTTGTATGATTTTAAATTAATTTAGTTATGCCCCTAGATGCAATCAAAATGTCAAGGACATCTGAATACGTTTTTTTTTTTTTTTGGCTTTTTACCAAACATTGGTTATTGATTTTTCTTTCTGGCATAAATAAAGAATAAGGCTTATTTTAATTTAGTAGAGTGCTAAATTAAATGATCTTGAACAAATGATGTCAGGCCTACATTAAAAATTAACTCTCATCATTTTCCAATGTGTCTTGAGTCTGTCTGGACTTACATAAATCCGGTATTGCATTCAGTCCCACCGTAAATGGAAGTAAACTTCCATTGAAATAAAAGTTGTGACAACATTTTCGAAAATTAAGATGCATTAGCTTTTTAAAGATTTTAAAGCTGCACTATTAAACTTTAACTCAATATATACATACTGTACAATATATGCTCATTTAGCACACGGACTGTTTGTAATAACATTTATGTGACCTATTTATGGGTCTGCATGTTTTTGTCTCATAGTGCTTGTGAAAGGAATATTATTATTAAGAATATATCATCCCTCTATTGCTAATTTTTACTAAACCATCATAAAGACAATAGGGTATGCCAGTCATTTAAATACAATGAGTAGTTCACCCAAAATGAAAATTTGCTGAAAATGTCAAATGTACAGGCCATCCATGATGTAGATGCATTTGTTTCTTCATCAGAACAGATTTGGAGAAATTCAGTATCACATCCCTTGCTCATCAATGGATCAGTGAATGCAGTGAATGGGTGCCGTCAGAATGAGAGTCCAAACAGCTGATAAAAACATCACAATAATCCACAAGTAATCCACAACACTCCACTCCAGTCCATTAATTAACATCTTAAAAGCTGCATGTTTGTCATCAAGCACTGTTTACAATCAGTCCTCAACAGTTCGAAACAAATGTGTTGGTGGATTATGATATGAGAGGACAACAGGTGATGGACTTTTTCACACGAGGAAGCATTATTATGGATTATGGACTTTTATTTTGTTCAGAAGTGGCTCGTTAAAGCTAAAATGCTTTAAAGATGGATTTGTGAACAGAAAAGCTACGTGTTTGTAAGAAACAAGACATTAATTGATGGACTGGAGTGGTGTGGATTATCGTGATGTTTTTATCAGCTGTTTGGACTCTCATTCTGACGGCACCCATTCACTGCAGAGGATCCATTGGTGAGCAAGAGATGTAATGCTAAATTTCTCCAAATCTGGAAGAAACAAACTCGTCTACATCATGGATGTCCTGGGGAAAAAAAATTCAGCAAATTTTCTTTTTTGGGTGAACTATTCCTTTCGGGCATATTCTGCCTGCGGAGTATAAATTTTTATTTTTTTTTCATATAGTTTATTTTGTGCCATTTGTCTCTCTTAAACTTTGAAAGCAAGTGTAAAGATCCTTTTAAGTTGCAGATAATGGATTTACAAGTGGTCATTTTATGAATTCTTGTATGTATTACTTAGGTAACTCAGTAATGCGTAATTGGAAACGTGCCCTGGATATTAAGTAATACTTATCCGCTACTAACATCCTATTTAATGATTCGGGAAGCCCAGCATTTTCTAATTGCATTAGACCACATTGATAAATGTTCTGACTGGAATAAAACACATTCATTCTGTTATACTTCTCTCTCTCTCTATGCATGTAATGGCCACCGTAGAAGTAAAATCACGGTTTGGGTGACACGGTTTTAGCACACAGTCCAGAAGGTGCAAATCCGTTTCCTGTCGGAGTGCAAGTAAAGAAAGATCAAAATGCAGGTAGTCTGGTTTAGAAATACACACACAAAACAGAGAAGTGATTCACTTGAACGTATCTCACTGAGAGATGAACAGAAGAGCAAGCAAACCCTCCACCAGCCAAGGTCTGCTTTTCCCTCCATCCCATTTCTCCTTCCACACAGTTGCCCGTTTTGCAGGCTGGTAAATGAGAGGAAGCAGACGGACAATGGCTTATCTTCTGTTTGGATCTTTCATTTGATGCAAACGCAGAATAACTTCATTTTTCATCTCCCTTTTGTGATCTGATTTGTTTGCGGAGCAAGAGACATTTTTCAATTGTTGAGAAATACAATAGCTTGAGGACACAACAAAAGAGGAGGCAGAAAATATTTTGAGTGTTAGAAATGAAAAAATGCCCTTGTTTTTCCCATAGAGGTGCATTAGGGATTCGGAGAGTTAAAGTCAAATTAAATCCTCTGGCTAAGTTTACAGAACACTTGCTTGATTTGTTGTGAATCTACATGAAATATATCCTTTTTTTGTGCATGAACTATAGAGAGAGAGAGAAAGAGAGAGTGTTATATTTCATTGATATATAATAGCATTCAATATTGCAGCTGTAGTCCCGCCTTACAGTTAAAAGAGCCAATCACCACTTACTATACAATTGTTAGCAGATTTTATTACATAAAATGTCACTGTAATATAATTGCGTGTCATGAATATGGCCGCTGAGTGAACTAATGGCTTTAAAGTGACTTTGATGTGGAAAGAAAATGTCTTTTTTATACCCAAATGAATTTTATCTGCATTTCTTCACATTCTGTTAAATGTTTTAAACGATTTATTGAGCGATATGTTTTTCCCATTGAAAGAAATACAAATTAAAGATATGTCATTTGATTATGATTTCATCAGAAGTGTTTCAGTAAAATCATAAAATATGTACACTTTTAGACAAATATGTAAAGATAATGCACAGTCATTCTGTCATTATCAGAAAATAAACCCCAATGGGGTGATCAAGCATTAGCCTAAAAGGGTTCATTTTGCAATAGTGGTTGACTAATTGTAGTATCCTGCTTATTAAAGAGACAGAAATATTAATTTTGAGTTTAATTCATTTCATTATGCAATAATCTGACTTTAGAATGTCATGATTGACCAATCAGAATAAAGCACTCCAGAGAGCCATGCAATTATCAGTGTTTATGCTTTTATTTGACTGATAGTTTTAGATGACCTACATGTGACATTTCTCTGTGTGTGTGTGTTTGTTTTGTCAGTTAAATACTGATATCCCACAATTTGGAACAATAATATAATAGCATAATAAAAAGTAACCAAACAAGTGTCTAACAATTATGTACTTGCTCAAAAAAATCTGTGTAGATAAAGCAGCTGTGGTGCATTTAAAACGGCTCATGCGTTTCTCTGTGAGGGCAGCTTGTTTCGTGGCATGTGGACAGGAGGGGAAATTTACACACACTCTGATTTTCAATTACCAACATATCCACTGGTGAGAACTCGGAGAGGGTTCTGCTTCAGCAGCTTTCCAAAATGGTGCTCCAAATACCTATTTTTTTAAATGGGATGCCATTTTGTTTTGAAAGAAAATCATGAAAGAAAATAAATTGCGTTTTTAGACTACAATATATCGAGATCTTCTGACTAGACTCTCACTGCACATGTGTGGATCTGTGTTTGCTGCACTTTTTAACGTTTTTTTTGCTGCATGCCCAACCAAATACAAAACCTGACACTGACCTATACCATTAATCCATTATCATACCCAACCTCAAAACAAGACGCTTGACCGCGCTGCGGTCTGCGGATTGAAAAAGAACGCGCTGAAAGACGGGGAGGAGCCGATCGAAGTCTGCCGCCGTTTTCATATGA